CACTCTTATTTCACTCTTCTCTCTCACACTTCTCTCACTATTCTCTCACTCTTCTGTCTCCTCACCTCTTTTTTAGTATCTGTCTGTTTTTAGATGTTTTTGGGGAAATATAAACAATAATCCTAATCCTTCCTGCTTCGTTCACCCTCCTACACGTCGTCACGTTGGAGTTGATCAGAGGCGTTAACTGGTTTTCTCTTCCTCTGGGAGGACTGGAAGACTTTGATTTTTACGTGAAATCTCTCCTAAGATGGTAAATGTTTTTATTGAGCTGTTCAGGTTTTAATCAGACACAGCACGGTGCACGTGAGCTGTCACACACAGCTGTGGTTTGTTTTTATTTTTCTGATGCAACCTGTGGACATGTAACGGTCGTATGCAGTTTTCTTTTTAACACTTCAGTCAACTGATCATCTACTGACATTTAAAATGTAAAAAAAACTACGAAAATATAAACAACACTTTATAGTTTTTGTTCCCATTTCTCATGAGGTGAACTCAGATCTTTAAACTGTTTTATGAACATAAAAGGACTTTTGCTCCAAAATATTGTTCACAGATTTGTGTAACTGTTAGTGAGCACTTGTCCTTTGTCGAGCTGATCCATCCACCTCACAGGTGTGGCAGATCCAGATGCTGATCAGATGCATGATTGTTGCACAGGTGTGCCTTAGGCTGACCACAATAAAAGGCTACGCTAAAACGTGCAGTTTTAATGTACTGGGGGTCCAGAAAACCAGTCAGTATGTGGTGTGACCACCATTTGCCTCGCATAATACAACATAAAATATTAAAACTAAATTCCAGTCAGTTCAAGATTTGTATTTAAGATGTACATTGTAACTAGGCCGGGGTTTATTTTCTTTCTTTTGTACCTTTAAGAGGTTTTATACTCTGAGACAGTTTGAATTCCCCTCATCTTTGGTTGCCTCTAATGACCCCCTCCGTGTTCTTCACTATAGTTGGTTGTACGGGCAGTAATTGCTGAAATGTTGCCTAAAAGCTATGATGTGGGTTTGGTGTTCAAATGTTGAAGGGAAATATTTTTAACATTGAAACTGGCTCTGGAGAAAACACTTTAACGAGGACAGTGAGCTGCGTCTGTTCAACAGTGAAGCGATCAGTTTGGTTCTACCGTCCTCTCCTTCATGTAACTGAAGTCAAGTTAGAGCAGAGAGACCGGGCAGGTTTTAAGTGTCCTCCTCCCCAGGAGTCCTTCCAGTTCCTCCAGGCTATAGGAGATATGTTCTTCCAGGCCATTTGGGATCCACCATGGGGCCTTCTTCCAACTGGACTTGAAGACGTTTATAGAAACATGTCCAGGAGCCACTCTGACCGTGCCCACAGCTCTGCTCCTTTCAATGCACAGGCACAATGACAAATGGCTCCAACGATCCCAGGCAGACAGGAAGTGCGCCTTCACAATAAGACGCTGAGCTGAATGCAGCTGGAAACAAAAAGGCTTTTAATAAGCAATGTGGATTTCGTTTTACTGATGATTATTCTCTCTTTCAGACCCCCCAACCGTGTCCATAGACGGCTACGACAACAACTGGTACGTCGGCCGCTCCGACGCCGTGCTGCTCTGCCTGGCCAACGCCAACCCTGCACCCAACGTCACCTGGACCTCGTAAGAGAAACACACTCCTGCCACCTTTTCTTTACAATGAAGTCACACGGACAGTTAGCTTTTCTTAAGGATGGATCGTTTCTAAGGACGTGGTTTGTAGGTGATGAACAGATGGCTTTCGGTGTTGGGGGGGTCCTTGATGAGTACTGAGCAGGAAGACGTTCACGTCTGTGCATTTACTCGTATTAATGCTGACTCTCAGAGCTACACGATGCTCATTCTTTTTACTCACTACGTTGATGTTGTTCGTCACCAGTTTGTTCAACCTCTTTGGTTTGAGACTCTCAGAACGTCATCGGTTGGAGCACGTCTTACTGTCTGAACGTTCAGGAAGCATTCACTCTACTGTGATCCAGTTTTCTTCCATACGTTTTTCGGCGTCTTTCTCGTTCCACAATTTTTGTGCTGTTTTCAACAAGTCATATCAAAAGTTCGGCTCTTTCAGGACAATCCTGCTATGACTTTTGGTATTGGAGCAACTTTAGCTTTTTGAAATGTTTAGGTTTTTCTTCCATTTTTTTCCTCAGAAAATGAACTGAGCTCATTTTACATCCTTCACATCTTTAGATCTGTTTACAACCTTTTACAGCCCCTTTCACGTTTTGTTCTGCTTCAGCTTCTTTCAGCTTCCTTCTGCAAAGCTAACTGTTTTTTTCAGCTGTTTTTTTTATCCTCTCAGGTTCTTTCTGCTAGCTACATTTTTATGCTTCTTAACTTATTTCTGCTAATTTCAGCTTATGTTGCTTTCAGCTTATTGTGCTAGTTTAAGCTTTTTCTGCTATTTCAACTACTATTTAGCTGTTTTATGCTTATTTTAGCTTTTTCAGCTATTTCCACATGTTTGCACCTGTTTTTTCAGCCTAATTCAGCAAAACTATGCTCTCTCCATGTCCTTCTTGTATTTTAGGCTTCTTTCTGTCTTTTTAACAGCTTTTCAGCAATATTTGCTAATTTCAGATTTTTTTCAAATATTTTCCACTTCTGTGCTCATTTCTGCTTCTTTCAGCTTAATTGGACAAACGTTCTTTCTGCTTTCTTCTGCTAACTTGTTCTACCTTTTCAGCTACCTTGTTAGCATTTTTTTAGCTAATTTCAGCTGTTTTCAGATAAATTCAAGTTTTTCTTGGTAATCTCTGCTACTTTCAGCCTAATTAACTTAATTCTGCTCATTTCAGTTTCTTGTGCTCCTTTCAGTGTATTTCTGCTAGTTTCGTTTTTTCAGCTACTATTTAGCTGTTTTTATGATATATTTAGCTTTTTCAGCTAATTCCACCTTTTTGAAGATCTTTTTGGCTCCTTCCAATTTCTTCTAGTTTAATCTTTCTGACTTTTTAGCTACTTTTCAGTTAATTTAAGCTTTTTTTTTCTTTTTTTTTTAGCTAATTTACTGTTTTTGTGCTATTTTTTCCATTTAAACCTAATTCAGCAAAAATGTGTTCTTTCCGCTTTCTTCTGGTAAGTTAGGATTGTTCTTACATTTCAGCTTGTGTTTAACTAATTTCAGCTGTTTTTCAGCAAGTTCTTCAGCAATAAGCATTGACACTGCATTTTCACAGGAAATGTTATTTGTCTGGTTAACTTTCGGAGTCAGACCTGTTCAAGATGGCTGCCACAGCAGAGCAATGTTGGCAAACATAAACGTATTAAAAGGATGTACCTCTACAAAGGTTCAACCTTTGGACTCAACCCAATTAAAAATGGCTGCCACGACCAGCTGACTGTAGAAAACACACAATTGGCTCAGACTCAGCCAGTTTTACAGATATTGAGCTAAAACCTGGGGTGGTAGTAGCTGAGAGTCACTTAACACATGATGCAAGAAATATCTCAATAAACATGGAGGGAACAAAATGTTTCTTTTCAACATGCAGCATTATTTCTCATCAGACAGTGTCTACATGTCTGGCGTGAGAGGCAAGAACTGCGTATAAATATTTTTCTTGTTCTCTTCCCTTCTGATCTTTGTGTTCCCTCCTTCCTCTCCAGGACTTCTGGCCGGTTGCCAGACACGGTGGAGGTTGACGACAACCGGCTGACGGTGAGGAAGGTGGACTACGCCGTCAACACCACCTTCATCTGTGAGGTCAGGAACAAGCACGGCGCCAGCAGACACCAGCTCACCACGTTCGTCATCGGTGAGTCTAAAACGTGCACCGCACTGATACTTCGCACCGTGCACGTGAGCGTGCGCCGATGAACACAGAGGAGCTGTTCATGTGCAGCTGAACCTGTAAATATGTATTTTCACTCCTGACACACTTCCTGCACAACATGCCTCAGTTTATCATACCCTGACACACGTGCACACACGGATATTAAAACATGTTTGCATGCACGTACAGTCCACGATTGCCCACGTGCATGCACAAAGACTTATCTCTTGTTTGTGACACACGCTGGGATCAGGGTTCTCAGTCTGTGCGTCCACTTTTTGTTGGTTTTTGATTGGCCCCTCCCCCACCGCAGGGCCAAATTACACAGTAAGGGCAAACATTTATTACTATTTCTATTACAGTAACTTGTATTCCAGTTCTACTGCCGTCCAGCCAGGACACTGCGTCCCCACTGGAGGTGAACTCGATTAGGATTGAGGTGAAGAGGGGGCCCTTATTGGAGTAATTTGACTCTGCCGTGGACACTCTGGTGTCGTTTCGAGGTTTTTAAATTCCTCTAAAGTTGGTGTGAGCCAGTTTGCAGCGGTTTGCTTCTTGCTTTATTGCCCCTTTTCGTCTTTTCTTCTGGAAAACAAGTATTTTTTACTAACACTTCCTGGTTTCCTCTGTTTTCTTCCATCTTTTACCTCTGATTTCCTGTTTCCTGTCACATGATTGTGTCTAAATCAGAGTGGGTTCTTCTTTTGGGTTTTGACAGTTTGGTAATTTCCCCTCTTTCCTGTGACACTTTTACAAATAGATCTGCTTATTGTGACCCCCCCACACGCACACACGCACGCACGGTGTATGTCAACAAACGGATCGTCTTCAGTGTTTCAGCACTTCATTCGTGAAAATTCTGTCCTCCTTATTGCTGCTTTTGTATTTTTGAGGAATTAGTTGGAATAACCGCTACGTTGAGCTTTACAAGAAAACACGATTTAACAGTGAGAAAGCCACATTTAGAACATCCGTGGGAAATCTGAGCTGCGGATTTGAATTGTCTCTCCTGAAAACAAAGATCCTTTCTAGCCGGGCTGTATGCTGCGAGTGTGGGAGGTTCTGAAGTGGCTAAGCTGCTGCTGTTCTTGCTGCAAGCGTAGCATTGTGACTGACTCAAAGTACCAAGGAAGGGCTGCTTTCTACTTCTAGTGCACACACACACACTTAACTCACAGAAATCTCTTTCAGACGCATGAAAAAGCTCCACGCACTCGGCACTTTGAACACTTTGAGAACTCAGATACAGTAGCCGAGATGAAGGCCGGGCTTCATGAGTCACCTGCGCCGTGCATGTCCTCGGCGTTTCGTTGCTCGCTTGTGTTCTGCAGCCGTGCAGCAACTTGATGATGTAACGTTAAAGCAGGTGAGTGTGGCGCTGTGAGCAGACCCAACGCGGTGCTGGATGTGAGGGAAGCTTTGGCGTCTCAACTTCTTGCAGAATGACAAAGGATAAAGATATAGTAATACTTCAGAATCCTTTGATGCCATCTGATAGATGCTGATTTCTGTAGCTTGTTCCCTAAACTCGTGGTTTTCAAGCTCGTGGTACTCAGGATTAGGGCTGAACAATTAATTACATTTGCAATAATATTGCAATATGATAAAATTAGAGTTTCTAATCACAAAGGCTGCAGTTTGACTGGTCACATGATCTGGTTATGTGATTTGTGAGTGAGCAGAGCAGGGAGCGAGAGAAGTCAACGCTGCGCTTTAACCGGTTGCACAATGACGTCAGGCTCAACAGAAGATGACGCATCTGAAAGTTTGGTCCCAAAGAGGCGCAGCACGTCCGTTGTTCGGAATTATTTTGGCTGTAAACCAGAAGACGCAGCACGACGACATGTTGTGCAGAACCTGCGTTGCTGCTGTTGCTACCTCTCGAGGTAACGCCACAAATCTTTATCAACACTTAAAATAACACCACATTTACAATAGTTGCATGGACAGAGTGCCAACGACCAGCGCTTCAACTAAAAGTTGGCAAAGTCTCAACCGACAGGGATCATAATTTAAAACGGCACGAGGACATAACTCGAGCAGTAACGGAGTTCATAGCGAAAGACATGATGCACATTCATATATTGACCAAGCCTGGGTTTACTTGTTTGGTGAACACAAAGGATAAACGGTACAGAACGCCCTCGTGCACACATTTTAACCAAGTTACTATCCAGGAGCTACACAAACAATACAGACCAAAGATGCAGCGGAGCTGAAAACAACTGAAACAGATTTATTGTTTGTGTTTGTTGAAAATACGTGAGAAGACGTTGAAAAATAATAGCATATTAAATCTCAATATTGATGTAAAAGATCACAAATAGAATATTTTCCAAAATCGTTCAGCCCTACTCAGGATCAGTCCAGTGGTGCTCAGAAGAAACTTTGTCTTTTACAAGGTAAAAAAACAAGCACATAAGATAAGATAAAACTTTATTGTCTTCCACAACTGTAGCAGAAATTCTCCTTCAACACGCTCAACATTCATCAAGAACCAACAACAAAATCCACGTTATCACCATTAGTTACCACCGTTAAGATGAGTATTTAGCTTTAAGAACATTACTGCAGATGGTACACGTGATTTCTTATAAATATTCTTCCTGGTCAGTGGGACTCAGCAACGCCTGTTTGATGGAAGCAGTTGTGTAGTGGATGTGAGGGGTCCTCGAGGATCAGGCTCACTGAGCGGCTGTAGATGCATGAGAGGGAGTGAGCCAGTTATTGCACCTGATGGTTTAATTATTCTGTGCAACCATCATGAGCTAAACTGTGATGTAAAGCTAATAACTAGAGACGAGCAAATGGAAGCTACTCTGAAATAAACTGCAGCTGTGAAGATCTCAGGAACTCTTTGGTGACTTGTGCAGCACCGGAGTCCTAACAGGATGAATCCTCTATTCTGGTTGTTTTATGTTTCCTTTAGCTACACTCATCAACACCACCGCCGATTCTTAGTGGGACTGCTCCGTTTGCTGCATGTGGGTGCACGTGTCAACGATATGCTCAAAATAAAGCTCCGTCCATAGACGTTAGCGTATTTAACGCTTAGCATAAATGAGTCTTTAGACACGGGCCGGTCAGTCAAGATCTTTCTTTGTTCAGCCCAGAAGATTCTAAAAGTCACGTTTATTTAGCAGAAGTTTAATATCTGCTGTCATGGTTAATATTTAACAGTAATTTCTCAAGTTCTTTGAAAGGTTTGGGAACCGATGCTTTAAACTTTTCTGACAGTCTTTTGACAGCGGGAAGGTTTCTGCAAGACTCTACACCAAGTCCACAGTAGTAGCTGTGGCTGTCTAATTATTACACTTCCACTTTCTGTGTCACTCTCTCATGCTGCTGTTCAATAGTGGATCATGGCAAGTAACGAGATGAAGTAATGAATTAGACCAGATGTTAAAATCAGCTTGAGCTCACTTGTGTGTAAATATATATATTTATATCTATATTTATATTACATCTAGCTCGTGTGAGCTTTTGCTACATTATAGTTTTAGATGGTTCCAAACAAAAGAATGGAGTTAGTTTATGGCTGCTTAAATCCATATTAATTATTTAAAACCCTCAAACAGAGACGGATGGATTAAGATCTGCTTGTTCCTAATCTGTCAAGAAACAAGGACATGTATATAATTACACGCTGTGGTAGTATTAATCACCATAAATTGCAGCTCGATCTCAGTCACCCCGGGCAGCAGTAAGACTCAGAGTTAAATGGCGGTTCAGTTTTTCTGCTGAGGCCTGTTTGTGAAGGAAGCCAACGCAGCAGATGGCCGGGCTGCCACCGGCACGAACCACAACAAGCAGGACTCGTTTGTTTCACCTTTGGAACGTTACGGCAGCATAAGGCTGACCGACTCATTCACCGTCACGTGTGTCATTATTTAACACAACGAACAAACGAAACACTGAAGTGTTTTTATTCTTGTCGAGGTTCAACAGCAGTGTTCAGAATCAGAGCTGCTCAACTAAACTGCTCAGGGAGTCACAGTGACTGAAAGCCAAGAGCTCCGGGGCCGGACATCCAGCAGTTATTCTCATTAAGTTTGTTTTATGGTTTAAAATCTAGTTTTATTTAAAAATGAACCCACTGGTGGGCCGAACTGAGCTCACCTGTGGGCCTGATTTGGCCCCCGGGCCACCACTTGAATAGCCCTACATGGGCCGTGTGCTCGAGCCAGATCATAATCGGTCCCTCGTCACATGCAGGTGGTGTTTTCCACGCTTTTATATTTGCAAGGTGTTAAACAACCCATGAGCTGTGGAGACTTTGCACACCTGCTCCAACGAGCCCGGGGCTAGAGGTCAGAGGTCATCAGAGGTGACGATAAATGATGATGTTTAGAGAAAATATGTTATTAGCAACGCCGGTTCAAATCCCCGGACCGACGTCAAAATGTGGGTGGAAAAGGTGAAGCACCCATACCTGCCTCCACCTTCATTTGCCCCACTCTGTGCCCTTGAGCAAGGCTCTTAACCCCCACCCTCTGCTCCCCCGGGCACCTTAGATGGCAGCTCTCTGCTCCACCGTCGAGTCTTCGTGCGAGTTAGTTCGATGTGGCGACCCCTGAGGAAAGGAGCAGCTGAAATAAATAAATAAATCATGCCAAATGTTTACCACAACTCATAACAAAGATACTGGAGTCACTGGAGCATATCTGATGATGGTGAGGGGAATTATCTCACTGTCAGAGAGGTACAGTATTGAACTACTTTGCGTTGTTGCAGCAGATCTCTTGTTTAATTCTGTTTGTGTCTAAATCAGTGTTTAAACGTTGCAGCCGTCTCGTTCCGGCGTTGGTTGTTTATATTGGAGAGTCGGCAGCAGCCGAGCTGAACAAGTTCTTGTTAGTAGAAGTTTTTAGACGAGAAATGTGGGGACTTTAGGTGTAAATATCTAAAAATCATGACAAATGCTAACAAATCACCCGTGTAAATTATTTATAAATCTATATATAATATTTGAACGTTAAGTT